TGGCACTGAGAAGTGTGCGCATCACAGAAACCTCACTTTTCAGCCCCTTCAGCAATGATTACATCTTTAAGACCTGGTTGCCTTAGGTGAAGACTTTGTACAGAAGGTGATCTGCAGGATCACCACCAGAACATCTAACCAGAACATCTAGATTATATCCTAGGGTGGTATATCCATGGATCCAGGGCTTGGTTTTTACAGATCTGTGCATTATCTTTGAATACGGAGTGACTTTGGAATTGTGAACCTTGAGCTTCATCACCAGACTGCATATTATCCAGTGTTAATAGTATACATATTACTTCATATAAAGTATTAGCCACCCACCACAGAAAAATAATTTTCAGTACAACTCAACAGAATTGGAATGTGTGATTCTGCAATTCAAGCTTGATGAAGACCACTGACTATTACAAGTCCTTAGCAACCAAAGAAATAGTTTTTGTTACCATGGGATTTTCTGTGGATGTTTTCTGTGACCCAGTCATATGACACTCAGTTCAGGTTCCATCGCAGTCAGTTAAAAAAAGAAAAAATCATATTAGTATTGTATACTTGACCTGTCAGCTTCCCAGTTTCCTCATCTGCAGGATGGCAATAAGCAGGCAACATTTAATGGTAGTTGAGCACTTTGAGATCCTTGGATGATGAAGGCCAAAATCCACAGTATTTTTCTCTTTTGGTCTTGTGACAGACTGGATTTCACTTACACACCATTATTTTGAAAGCGTGTTAGGTTATTTGCCTGTCCATGCTAACAATGACAATAAATCACTCTCCACACCTCACTGAGAGAACCAAGTGCTATTTACAGATTATAGTGTGGATAAGGCAGAAATACTGTTCCCATCACTATGGCAGAGGATCTGTCAGCACTTCCATTACCATACTTCAATTCCAGTGGTTTGCAAGCCCATTTTCATTACCATCACCAAATAGACTGCTATTTTTCAGCTTTATTAATGTTAAGTGAATAAATCATGGAAGTTAAAATTGCTTTTGTTCTCCCATAACTAAAATTGGCTTGAAGTTCAAACAATGAAATTTGGAAAGCAATTCAATTTGTCCAAAAGAAAGAGATAGCGTCAAAGGACCAGCCACTTCACATACTTCGAATTCAATCTCACCATCATGCATCTATATCTGTATTGACATGACGATATACCAGAAAAAATAATAACCTTGTGGAGCTCTTCCAATTGCTCTGATACCTAGAATAATTTTTTAAAACTGCTTAAATACACATTTACATTGTGTCTGGGTGGTCTTTGGGTTAAAAAATATGCTTTCAATAACTTTGCCTCAAATACATATTTTTTATTTTAATAAAAAAGAGGAAATTAAACACAAAAAAAACTATGTTATTTTAACATTGAGGTTTCAACAATAATGAAATTCAAATTTAAGCTTGACACACCATCTTAACTCATTCAACAATGTATTTCTAAGAAATGCCAATAATGGGATGGGTTAAGATGAATAAATCAGTCCTAAATAAAAACTCCTAAGTTTTGTTTCATTCCTGAGAAACACGTGCACATAAAGGATTTCCCCCTTATGATTACGTGAAAAAAACAAATAAACAAACAAACTTGTGAGCTTGAAACTGAACTTTACTTGATAGTGTGCAAGCTTTGTTTTCATGGAAAGGGTGCGCGAGATGGCGCTCGGAGACCCCAAGGTCAGCAGGTAACACAGCCCATGTTGTCTCCTCCAGGTGCCTCCTCCAGGAATGGGACTGGCTAGCCCATGATACCACTGAAGGCACAAGGAACACAGCCTGACTTTTGCTGGTGATTCCTTGGAGCTCCTGAGCACTGATTTTGCTCAGCATGACTGAAGTAAATGTGCTCTCTCTCAGAGAAGGCCTTACCTTCCATGATGGGGAATGGAATGAGGCATCCCTCATGCTCTTCTTGTCGTGTCTGTGTCTTTCCAGGTGCAATGCTCACGGTGCCTCATGCCACAGACTTCTAACGGGTGATATCTGACTGTTTGCATTTGACTGTGTGTTAAGGTCTTTTAAAAGCATCTCACATTCATTTGAAAGGCTGTAGTGGAACAGTGAGAAAGAAAGTCAGGCTGCTTGCCTTGGTTTAGCTGCTGCATTGAATAAATAAAACCTGGAGAGAGAAGAGAGACGAGAGAGGGCACCTTCCTGCAGTCTGCAAAAGCAGGCAGCGAGTGGGGAAAGGACTTTTTAAAGGTACAGCTTTGCAGCAAAATCATAAACTGGTGACTGGAAGAGGAGGGAGCAAACTATGTACAGCCCTGGCTTAGGCTGATGAGAAGAGACTGCAGATTCAGAAGGCCCCTGAAAAATATGTAGAAAGGTGGGAAAACATTCAAATGTAGAATTTAGGTGTGTATCTCTCCCTCTACACTCAAACTTATGGACCTTGTAATGTTATTCTGTTTCATCCAGCAGATTTGTTTTCTCTTTCTACCTGTATAAAGTGAATTAAAATTCAAGTAAAACTCAGATTTTGAAATTCATAGCCTTATAGTGGTTTGGGGGTGTTTACAATTAAGAAATAATTGTAAAAAAGCTCTGGCTAACTCAGGATACTTTGATGGTTGGATTGCTCTATTTTCCTTCCATCTTGGTCATAAAATGTATCTCCACTGGCCACCTTGTATTTGGAAATCCAGTTGATGACCACAACATGCAAGTAATAATTCTTCCTTATGGGATTTAGAGTCTGTGGCTAGATGTTGAGCTTCAGAGTTATCTGATCTCTGTTAGCTCCAAGGATTGCAGCCATCCTTTGCTTTCATTTTCCAGTACTGGATGAAAGAGAAGCTGATGCTGTCACATAGATTCTATTCAAAATCTTGGCTTCCATGATTTATTTAAAACTGCCCTCCAATTATTAATACCTCTGCAATGAGGCAAGTGCCAGATTTTAATTTACAAAAAGTCAGGGTTAATACAATGAATAGCAAGGATGGCAATCTTATTCCACCTCATATTAACCACTTATTAGCAGCAAATGTAGAAATTTGCTTTACAAAAATGGAAGTTGAATGGCAATTTAACAAATTATGATTAAGAAAACCAAAATACCTTGTTTAACCTTCACTTCACATAGTGACAAAAATATATAACATAAATAAGCGGACAGATATACAGCAGTACTATTTTCTCTAGAAACTTACTTCCTGTTACTAGAGGAGATGTGAAAACAGATTTCTTTGCCAAATAGGAATTTTAAATTAATTAGATGCAAAAATCGCAACCACATACAACTTCTCTTTTCTGAAAATATGCATAACTGCTGGCAAAACTGAACCATGACAAGTTAGTCCCAAGAATAACAGAAACAGAAGGACAGACCATGTGTGGACAGAAATCCCCTTTTGTCTCAGTTCTGACAAATACTCCCAAGCCAGTAATCATTTTGGGAGGAAACAGTTGCTTCATGCAAACACTATGATCTAGAGCTCATACTTTCTTGCCTAAGACACATTTCTGTGGTAAAGCTCCCAGTTCTCACAGCCCTTCAGGTCTTGCCCCACAGGCCAGTCTGTGAAGGATGAAAGGTTATAAACCATGGCTTTAAAGCATGGGGCATCCTCTTGGGCAGATACTTAGCCTGTGCAAATGCAGCCATTCTCACAGGGGAGAACTTTCACTCTCTGTATTTCACCTGTGACTTATTTCATGGCTCTTCCTACACCCCGTGCCCCCAAGAGTGAAGACCAGGGTGTGCATCCTGAATCCCCAGCCAGGAGGTTGCAGACAGAGCACAGATTCACCTCCAAGAGCGAAGAGTGCAGTGCTCTGCCCTGTGCCCACCCAGGGGCTCGGCACTTTGTCTCCATTTTCCCCTGAAAGAAAGAAAGAGCAGGCCTAAGGCAAGAGAGAGCCAAGATGCAAAAACAAGCAGTCTCCTGTCCGGGATGGGAAGTCTGCCCAGGCCCTATGCTCCAGGAAGCCAAATGAACCCCGGTGATGCACAATCCTAATGGCAGAAAGGGTTTCATACAAATACAGAAAAACGATCTTGTGTCGAATACCCACAAGGTTTCAGGTCAATTTCTAAAGAATACCTACATTACAGGTCAGTTTCTAAGGAATACCCAGGTTTCAGATGAGTTTCTAAAGAAGACCCATGTTTCAGGTCAGTTTCTAAAACTTTTTTTCTCCGTTTTTTTTTTTAAATTTTTTTTCTTTTTAAAAAAAATGTTAAGGGGGTATTTTTAAAAAAGCTTTTTATTTGGAACGGGGTAAATAGTACACTTAATATTTAGGACATCTGGGATGTTTGTGACAGCAACACCGAGCTCAGTACACGCGCCCTGTTGCCGGGAGCCAAGGGTGATGCAGCGGGCGCGGCCGGCGGGCCCGCTGGCCCCCTCTCCTTCTCTCTGGCCCTCTCGGTGTGTGTCTCCGTGCCCGGGGTCCCGCTGGCCCCCTCTCCCTCTCTCTGGCCCTCTCGGTGCGTGCTCCGTGCCCGCGGAGGCCGGCGGAGGCGGGGGCTATCCCGGGAGTTCTCCCTTCCCGCCCGGCCGCGGGGAGGTCTCCTCAGGCCGGGGGAGGCGGGGCGGCGGCGCGCGGCCGCGCGGGGGCGCTGCGGGCCCTGCGCGCGGCCTGGGGGCTGCGCGTGCCGACCACGGCATTCCCGCTGCCCGCTCGGCGCGCAGCGGCGGGGAATGGGGGAGCTGCTGCCGCCGCCGCCGCCGCTGCTGCCGCTCTGCCCGCGCCCCGCGGCTCCGGCGCCGCCTCCTCCTCCTCGCTCGGCCTGAAGCGCGCTCGCACTCGTGGATCCCGGCGGGGAAGGGGCCATGGGCCGCCTCCCCGAGGCGCGGCGGCTGTGAGGCGGCCGGCGCTCGCTCGGGGAGCCGGGGGGAGAGGCTGCCGGCGGCCGGCCAGGCTGCGCCGGGGAAGGGAGTGCCGCTCGCAGCCGGCGGCGGGCGCGCAGGCAGCACCTCGGTGCCGGTGACTTGGGGGTGCCGCTCCCCGCCCGCGCCCGGCCGCGGCGGTGGATGGATGCGCCATGGCCACGCTGGTGTGCCGGGTGCAGCTGCTGGATGACACCGACCCCTTCAACAGCACCAACTTCCCTGAGCCCACCCGGCCGCCGCTGTACACCTTCCGGGAGGACATCCCGCTCGCCACCCAGCTGGCCGGGGTGCACCGCCTCCTCCGCGCCCCGCAGAAGGTACCGGGGGAGGGCAGGGGCGAGTGAGCGGGGGGCACCGGGGAAGGGCAGCGGCCTCTCCGCAAGCGCCCGGCAGCGGGGAGCGGAGGCCGGCGGGCGGCCCCCGGCCCCTGCGGGGCGACAGCCAGGGCTCCAAGCCCGGCGGCGGGGCTGCCCCGCCGGCTCCCCTGCCTCTGCCGGCGCTATCCTTAGCCCCGGCAGTATCGGCATCTCCCTAAGTCCTGGGGAGAGGCCCCGGGGGACGGCGGAGGGGTTCCCTCTGCTGCTCTCCCGCGTTCCCAAACGCTCTCAAGGGCAGCTACCGCCTCTGCTTTAGCTGTAGCTGCCTCACTATTTCCCTAGGAGAAGAAAAACCTCATCAAACCAAAGGCCAAGTTGGGTATCAAGTACTCGGTGCCTGTCCTTCGCTAGCGTTGCCTGGGTATCTGAGGATACTGCGGGATAACGTGGTGTGTCGGGCCAGCCGGGCACGGTCGCGCCGACAAGACCCGGGCTTTGCCTGGTTGAGATTTAATGAGCCAGGCAGTTCCAGCCGGGGCTTTGGTAAAAATAGCAGCGTCTGCTGCCCTTGAAACAATCGGTGCTATTAGTCCCTCTTGCGAAGAACTGCAGCATGGCCCTTGTCAAGTCTTACCTATCTCTTCTTGCATGCTTCTTCTAACGTGTGCTGGCATTTGTAGCTCTGCTCTTGAAATCAGGCACCCGAGCATTATCCTTGAATTTTTAGTTTTCAAAGCAATGCCATTGATTGGCATAATAATAATGTCTTTTCATTATTATCTTGTATGTGCACATTAGTTCTGCAGAGTGCACTGAAGAAGAAAGGAAAAAATGCCCACTTTTTTTATTCTACAAAGTTAAAGTTGTAAAAGTTTTATTTGCTCTGTGATGAAGTGGGAGGAAAATACTCTCTTAACATCACTTGTTGTATTATGCTCATGGGAGCCTGCAGAAAGATGACAAAGGGCTGTATGTCCCCTTAGATTTAAGGATATCCAAAACCCCATAAAAGTATTTCAGAGAAAAGCTCATGGAGCAGACAGAAGTTTTGCATTTGTAGAACGGTTTCCTCGCATAATAGTTGCCAAGGATACAGCATCCAGTGAACAGAGCTCTGCCTAAAGCACAAAAACTTTGGAAGCTCTTGGTGCGCTGGGTCAATTCTGTTTTCATGTGCTCAGTCGTCCTCAATTCAGAGAGTGGTCCCATTGTTTTCATGGGAGGCTTTTTTTTTTTTGGAGTTAGAGCTAATTAAAAGAAAGGCAAGATGGATTCTGACACCAAATGAAGTGAATAAAGAGATAGTTTAAAATATGGATTTAGAGTTAATTCAACTTCATTTTCAGCAATATTTCACTTTGTTATGTTTTGCTTTGGTTTGAATACTTCCCTGACAATTTTTTATAACTTTTTATACTAACACCACCACCAACTTGGTTTAGCGTCTTAGGAGCCAGCCAAAATCCATAGCCACTTGTATATGCTTCACTCCTGCCCAGTCTTTCTGCGTGCAGCATTTCTCAAGTTTAATTAATGTTGGAAAGTGGAGTTGCAGAGAGTTGGGGTGAGAGATGGCCTGTGTCCCTAGAGGTGCTGTAAACCTGGCTATTGAAAGATAGCTGCTCTGCTAGAGGCAAGTCCTGGCCCAGTGAGTTGTTAATCTGCGGTTCTGGCTCTTCCAAATACTTTATTTCCGTTGTGAGGGTGTAAGCAGGCTCATTGAAATCTGCTTACATGGTTACAGTTACCTTTGTGTTTGCAGGGCCTCCTATTTCTGCTTTAATTATGTCTCTTGGCTATCTCTTGGCTTCTACCAGGTAAAAAAAAAGGGTTGGTTGATTAGGCTTGTTTACCTTTATTCATTATAATGAAAGCTTAGTTCCGTGTTTGCACTTGCAGTCAGGGCAGCATTTCTGTGTTTGGCATTACATCTTTGTACCTGTAATTCTGTAAAATAAACTGATTTGTGTTGCTTTCTTCTGTTTTTGGTTTTTTTTTTTTGGGAGGTGGGCATATTCTTTCTGTGGCCTTTCCTCAAGACCATATTCACTGGTCAATAGAAGATCACCACATTATTTGACTAAGAAGAATTTTGCTCCATTTCACCCAGAGATTAGGGCAAATTCTGATCTCAGAGGAATGCAGCTGTCAAAGTGGAGCATAGGTTGAAATTCAGGTGTCGGTTCACATCAATGCATCTGAGGTTTGATTGATTAATAACTTTGAAAATTGCTGAGCTAATGGATTGAGGGTCCATTTAGTATCATCACGGTGACTAGAGCAAAATATCTTGAAACAGACCTAGGAGTTTCTAGCTCAAATGGTGTCCCTGCCCATGGCAGAAGAGTTGCAACTTTAAGGTCTCTTGCAACCCAAGCCTTTCTATGATGATGATGATGATGATGATGAAATGCATAGGAACACCAATGTGTTCCTAAATAATTTCTGAAGTTTTATAAACTGGTGGCCTTTTTGCCAGCAGGTTTGAATGATCAGCATTATGCTTTTTTTCCAGCGAGTTTTAAGTTGCCAGCTCTTGACTTGGGTGAACATTCACTTACTCTCTGAAGAGAGCTGCCAGCTTGTTGCCTTCACACCACTGGATGATTTGCACATCTTTTAGATTATCTACTGCTATGGGAAGCACTTGATAGGATGAAGTCAGTGTCAGGAATCCAGCTCACTTCAGTGGGGTCAGATTTCGCCATTGCTGTCTTGAAATTAGTAATGACGACAGTGTAGTGACGGTGGTATTTTTGTAGTTAGTAAGACAACTTGTATACTGCAAGTCATTTTAAGTTAAACATTATAAATAATTATTAAGAAAACCATTTAAAAAGTAAACTAAAAATGCTTTGACATTCGGACCTGTCATAGTATGTCATTAGTAGCTTTTTTGTAACCAACAGATGTTCTTGCTTGATTCCAAAGGGCAGGATTTCTTCACTCTAGTTCTTTGAAAGTACAACTCTATTTTGCATGTTGGTTTTACTTCTTCTTTTCTTTAAACTCACACTTCTACTTGAGTTAGGATGCAAGTCTAGATCTATACTCTCTCTTCTGAGCAGCAATGTTTTTAGATCCTTATGCAGGTTCACTGGGAAGTTAAGAAACTGAGTTCTGAGAATAATGTCTGGGATGGTCTTTACAACCCTGAATAATGTGGAGTACCTAAGCTGGTTGATAGGGAAAACCGATAAGAAGAGTCCCTGCAATCTTTCTTTCACTTGGGATTGGGTGCCTAATTGTATCCTCCTTCCTCTTTTTTTCCCTGCTTCTCTCTGTGCACATACTTTTCTCTACATCCATATCTCTGGATACAGCAGATTGTTGTTCACTGGGTTGTGCTCAGCTCTGTCTGGCATGCACACTGAGCCTCATGGGGCAGGACACTGTCATCAGGAATGCTTGTTTCAGCTATCCCCTGTGGTTATGAGTGATTTGGTCCTAGATGGTAACACGCTATCCTAGCTGACAATGCAATGAAGTACCACAAATTCTGTTATAGTATTTTAGCGACATTTACAAATTCTTGCTTAGTAAGTATGCCACGTTGCAGAGTTTTTGTGGTTTGCCTATATTGATTTGGCTGCCTAAGGTGCCATTTTGAATTTGGCTTTTATTGTTCACGAGGATTTTAGGTCACTCTTACTGTCTGTTGTATGAAGTAGAACTGGATCTAGTTTGGACTCTGACTTCAGATGTCCCTTTTGGCCATTTCTGTGAACCTTGGGAAAATTCAGAACTGGGTCTAAATTTGTGGCTCAGGCCCTGTGCCAATAATGCTCTTTGAATCTAATTCGGTACATTGGGTTTGTTGGTTTTGAATTGCTTTGAGTTACTTGATACTTATAACTTGCTGACATAGGGTCGCTCAGGAGAGTAGCTATATATACATGGCCAATGTCAAGTGGTGTGCTTTTTTTAGAGATCTTCTTCATTATAACTTATTCACATAATTACAGCATGCTGAGTATGTTGCCATAGTCTGTTTTCACATGCCACAGTAGTGTCCAGTCTTGGGGCAGCTCTGTAAGAAATACATCTTTACAATAATAGGATGCCACACTGCCTAATTTATCAAGAAAATGTAATTGAAATACTTTATGTGACAATGGAAAGCAACAACAAAAAAAATCTTTCCATATGGGGTACTGGTGGGAGACAATGTAAAGGAGAGTTATAGTGTGATAAGGATAATTGTTTTGATGTCCTGTTCCCTCTGAGAAAGCTGGAGACAACTTCTGTGTTTAAATGCCTTCCAAGAATTTGTAATTAGGAACATGTCATTCAGAAAACAGTGGTATAAGCAAATAAATCCAGTGAGTGCTAGAGGGGTTTGGGAGTTTCATTCATAAAGAAGCCATCCACATTTCCGTCTTCAGCTGCCGTGATTTAGCCCTACATTTAAGCCAGGGCTCACTCTGAGGCATGGTGTGATGTAAACTGATAGCAGGAATAGTTCCACTGGTTGTGTCCTGGCATGGAGCTCAGCTCTGGCATTGAACTCAGTGCCAGGCTATACCCTGGCAGCAGCCTCAGGTTTTCTGAGAGCAGTAAGCCTACCAGCTGGTTCCTCTTCCCTGGGTTTCCTTGGCATTAAATAATAATGCATTGGTCCACAGAGGCTAGGCAGAAAAAGAAGAAAGTGTGGTTTGTATCCTGATGTAGGTACTGGTAAAGAGCAGCTGAAGAGAACATTTCTCTTCTCTGAAGAGAGCATTTTTGGGTTAGTCATTATGTTGTTAATGGGAGCTGAAGAATAGAAGATGGAAACTGGAATATTGTCATTTTCCCAGGGAAAATGAACCCACACCTAAGGGAAACTGGCTGGTATCTTCTGCAAGTGTTGCTGCTGAGGACTGGGAAATATTTTAGTTGAGGGCTGTCAAGACACATAGGTCTTTCTTATTCTGCCTGAGGCAGGTGGACATCTGCCTTTTTTCATCCTTTGAGAGGAGAGGGGATTTAACACAAAGGTTGTTTCCAAAAGATTTCCA